GTGGTTATGTGAGCTATCAAGGTCACCAGAAGTCATACAAATGTGATAAGTTTTGAGAGGTCATTTCTAACCAAAGAATTTTTAAAAAGAATTTTTAAAAATAAAGTGAATTGTGATATAGTTTGCTATGAAGTACAAAAAAGTTTTTGTCATCATTTATAGTAGGGCTGATAAGGTCAGAATCGACTTCCGATATCACCGAAAACCATTGGGAGTAAATTTCTAAGTGAAGGTGGTGACTCACGCGCGCGCAAAAAAAAAAAAAAAAAAAAAGAAAGAAAAGTAAAACACGGCTATTCTCTAAGGTCAATGGAGGCCATCAGAAGACAATCTGGGATTTAAATTAAAATAGCTTTCCGATAAAAAAGTCTTTTTTTAAAAATTAACCGTTTAGTTTGTAAAGTATGGTGCAACCCTGAAATTTTTTTCCCGACAAAACTATAAAATTTTCAGAATTAAACTTAATTTTTTCCAGATGTCTTAAACATAAAAAGGATAACCCTAGCCTAGAATAACTGCTAGTAACAGAGTGAACGGGGCATTCTTGCTCCAAAGAATGATACAGTTGAAGAAATAATTTAAAATCTGTTTCAACATATTCTTGGGCCGTTTCAGCTGTAGAAATCAGTGGATATTTATGAGGCCATTCAGAACCCTACTTGGTCTCTCTTGTTCACTGATGTTCCTTTCCAAATTTTTAAAATAGAAATTGGGACGCTCCTCTTGCTTCTAGGAAATTTAGACTTTTCAAAGTTGTACAATGGAGCTTTTCTGTCAAACATGAGTTAGTCGAAAAGGAGGATGTGTTCCTTTCTAGGATCCCCATAATTCTAACAGACTTACACTTTGAATTCAAGCGACATTTATTCCCAGGAATGAAAATAGTACATGTTATGTTTATTTGAACTGATAATAATCATAATAAAGGCATTCCAAATACTGCTCAAAACTATGGTGATTCCCTTAGTTCATTTAGTGATGATTATTTGATAATGACGATGATTATATGATTATGACGATGCTTTTGAGATGGTTGTGGCGCTGTTCATTCTCATTATGATAATCAGTGATCCATGTAAATGATAATAATTTATAAATGAAGATGAAGACAATGTTATGCAACTGAAATTTATTATAGTGAAACTATTTGACAAAGATGTGTGATAAATATATTCACGAAGAAATGAGGTTCTGCATAACGTCTAAAAATTGGCTCTCGTGATTACTGGGGTTTCTGTAATAGGGTACTAAATAAGTCTTTATTCTCACTTCTATAATCAATTTGAGGTGTTATCATCCTCTACTGATAAAGCTGAATGCTTTGCCCGTAAATTCTTCTCAAACTCTAATACAGATACTCATCTGGAGTATCGCTGCCTTACTTCCCGCCTAGAACTGAATCCCTTTTGAGTGAGATGCGTATAACCCCTTCCATGATTTCTACAATCTTCTGTATTCTGGATTACCACAAAGCATGTGAACCTGTAATAGTCATTAAGACGCGTGCCCCCGAACTGGCACCTGTTCTCTCTAAACTGTATAATAAGTGCCTCGTCACTTCTTGCTTTCCTGTCTGCTGGAAATCCTCTACTGTTGTTCCAGTTTTTAAGAACTCTGTTGAACCGTCCGACCCTTTCAGCTATCATCTATTGCCTTCTACCGCTTTTTTTGGAAACTCCTAGAAGCCCTAATTAATGCTGAATGTGTTAAGCATTTCTCATCGCAGGGCCTTTTTTTTTCAGATAAACAATATGGATTTCGCTTCTCCAGATCAACTGCTGATATACTGAAGATACTTTTGGAAAGAGTCTATCAAGCTCGAGATTAAAATGATGAAGCCCGGGGTGTAATTTTGGACATCTCAAAAGATTTCGACAGTGGAATGCAGGTCTTTTCCACAGACTGAAAAGTTACAGTGTCTATGTACAAATTTTTGAACTGATCCAATATTTCCTATCGAATCGTGAAATGAAAGTAATCCTGAACAGTCACACTTCCACTTCCTTTCGTACTAATGTGTGTCCTCCAGGGTTCCATCCTTGGTTCTACTTTATTTCTGATTTTCATTAATGACTTTTCCGATGGCATCAGCTCTCAACTCGGTATCTACGCTGATGACACAACCATTTACTCCTGTGTCGATAGTAATCTGATCAGTTCGATAAGGTCAAAATGGCAGCCGATGACTAAAACAACTTTTTGTCTGTTGTTAACTGGGCGAAAGGAAGGCTTGTTAATTTTAACGCTTCCAAAACTAAACTGATCTCTATTATTCATCTGAGATATCCCCTCTGCCTTTTATCAGCATGGCTGATGCTGACCTCCAAGAGAGTGAGTGACACGTTGCGCCGTCTTGGGTTAACATTCTCGGCTGATATGGAGTTGAAAGACTATATTGAATCTATTGCTAGATCAGCAGAAAGGAAGGTTGGTTCAGTGTGCCGCGCTAGAAATTTTATCACTGCTATACTTATTGTTAAATAAAGAAAAATATACCGATGTTATCTGACCATTGCGGACAATTGTGCTACGTCGGGGATGAGCGATCAGATTTGGGTAAGTAAAATAGTTGATTGCAATATTATAGTAACATCAGTAAAATGTAACCTATCTCCCCAACCAAAATACGACATATTTGCAACTTTGCAAGAATGTTCCATGTATTTTGTGACAAGGAATTTTCTTGTTACATTTCCCAAAGCCATATCATTGCAAGCTGTAAGATTTAAGATAACAGAGATAAGTAAAACAAAAAGTAGTAACGCGAGAGAAGAGAATTATTATTCATAAATAATACTGTCTTTCAGAAATATCTTGAAAAATAAGAACTGTGACAGCTGTCACATCTTTGCATTTTAAAAATGTTAAAATTGGTGTATTTTTGTTTATTGAATCTTACACGTTGAACTTTTCGCCTTACTTTGCACAATTTATAGAGAAGGTACTGTGAATGATCGAACGTGTTAAAAGTGGTTTGCAAAGTGTCCTATTGGTAATTTATCGCGAACACTGCTCCAGGGTCAGTTCGATCAACTGAAGCTGATTGTGATCAAATCAAGCGATTATTTTTTTAATAAATACGACGCAATATACGTTGAATAATCAATGTAAATTATATATGAGTTAACATGCTTAAAATATACACACATACCTTTTCCACATAATGTAAGCATAAAGAATCCTGCTAGAAGATATTTTCGTATGAGATTATCTACTTAAGCGCAATTAAATGTTTTCGACAAATTAGGACGGGCTATGAAAATTGAATGCAGCAACGTAGAATGGAAGTTATCAGATGTAGAGGGGAAATGAACCACCAATAACCGTATATTTACCCAATGTAAGGTAATACTGTGTATAATTAGGATTGAAAGAGAGTCCTATATTATGCGTTACTTCCATAGAACTTAATGACTGATTGAAACAAGTGCTGCTCCCGAATGCATATGAGTGGCATCCGCCGGTCTCGAAAGAACTTGGATCTGTGTCCAAAAAGTTATTCCTCAGTTACTGATGGCAGCGCAGCATCTGTTATGGCTGTTACAGATCAACACGGGAGTGACAGTCTCGACTTCAACAAATGCATGTTCCCGATGTTGCCGTGTTGTATTCTTTCTGACGAGCAATGAAAGAAAAGTGTCCAGAGGTAGTTAACAATAATATGTAAATATTCCACCAGGAAAATACTATATCGCATTTTTCTTTGTGGATTTAGAAAGAATTGTTACAGCTTGGCGATTAAACTTTTCACTCTTTCTGTCGTCAACAAAATTAATCTGTTGGATTAACATCTGTTGAATTACCGTAACTGGATTACCATTTATTTCGCTTTTTATTTTCCGGCAGGCTGTAAAAAGAACCACTTCTTTACTGAAAAAAAGTGTGGGAGGATGGAATCATGATATTGTCAGAAAGATGACAGAAGCTGGTGGAAGAAAACGAGAAATATGTTTTTGAGATGAGAAATTATTATTACACAGTGAAATACTTGGACTGGTCTCCTCGTCTTGGTTATTTATGTTTTATTGAGAAGTATACACCACATGTCTATTATATTTAAACGTCGTCTTTTCAAAATTGGGAAAAATCTTCAGCAAACCTGGCAAATCTTCGCTATTAATGACATTCGGTTAAATATATATCAGTTTATAAGGTAAATAATGATTGTTCAGTTATGTCAGTTATAATTCAAAAGAATCCTCTACCTTTATAAAAGCCAGATCAGGCTGAAAATAGAGTGCTGTTGCCATATTTCATTGGGGTTCTGCCCAGTCCTCACTTTCCAGTCTTGATAGAGTTTAAAAGCGCCCCCGAGTCCTTGTCGGAAAAGAATTATTTTTCCACTCTCCAACCTCTGTCTCAAAGGCGGGAAATGGCGAATCTTTCACTGAACTATCACTACTTTCCTGGAAAGTGCTCGGACAAATTACATTTCTTGGTTCCACCATGTCTAACCTTCACGGTCAGGAACCGCCATGTCATTTACAGAGTAGCAAACAACACACATCCCACAACTGTATTCGATCGGCGAGAAGTTCCACTCAAACATCTTCTTCCCGCAAACCACTACTCTGTGGAACGGACTGCCAAGAGGATATTTCCCTCATCATTACAATCTTAACCTGTTTAAGTTAAGAGTTAACCGTTATCTTCCCCCTCCTATGCATATAAACTCTACCCCTTAACGTAGCCTTCTACCCCGAGTGGCCCCTTATTATAAGAAAAAATAAAAACTTTTTTGTGTTTGCGCGCGATGTGTATGTGGATTTAAAACTAGAAACACGACTTATGAAAACGTTTTTTCTCTTCTATAAAACTACATTCTTGGCAAGAAATCTTTCGTTTGATTTCGACAAATTGTATAATATTTCCTTTAACTTTAACCAAATATTCGGTGAAGACATTGAACAATGTGTTATACTTCTGTGCGTCAAAAATGAAAATGATGTTGAAGACAATAATAATGGGTGTTATTGTACATACTGGTGATTATGTTTTAGAAATCATAAGTTCGAGAGAGAGAGAGAGAGAAAGAGAGAGAGAGAGAGGAGGATGCATTTGTGGTAGCGGTGGGACTGGCGAACTGGCTGCTGCTTGCGGCGCCAAGCAGGCCGAGCCCACTTTCCTTTCCAACGCACCCTACGCTCAAGCATCCAGACTACCGGCACCAAATGGAACAGGTGGCAGAGGAGTAAGGAAATTCGTTCACCAGCGACCTGTAACCATAGTCTACGTGGCTGGTGTTCGCATTAGAACCACCCAATCTTTTGGGTTCCACTTTCGCCATCGATTTAATTTTTGTTGTCGCTACGAAAATGGACAGAAAAAAAAGATGTTTAAGTTGTTCGTAATTTTCTGAAAAGTTTGTCGTCGCCAGACGTATTAACATAAATAAACATTACATAAACACTGAGGCACATATATAGGAATATATATATATATATATATATATATATATATATATATATGTGTGTGTATATAAACATTATATATATATATATATATATATATATATATATATATATAAACAATATATATATATATATATATATATATATATATATATATATATAAACATTATATAGTAATAAATAATCTTTAATATTACATTATTCCTACTCAGACTTTCACGCAAATTGCATCCACTCTAGGAAACTTACAAATCAAGTCGCCTGTTGAGTGGATGAATTTACTTCTAAACTCTTAGTAGTGATAAGGTAAGTAAACATTTAATTTTATAGTATTTATTACTGGTAATGCTCTTTCTGTTGATATTGAGCACCATAATTATACAGACTGCGTGACTTAAAAAACATAATCTCCCAGAAATACTCGTTTTTAAACAACATTATAGAACATAGTGTATCAAAAGTACTTTTACAAACTATATATATAAACGATTTTAATTACATTTCGCTTGTAAGTTGTGTCTGTTTATTCTTTTATTATATTTTCAAATTTTCGAATAAACTGTTGCACATCTCGATCAAAATTATGGATAAACTGTCTTCTGTTAATACTTCCTCTGTTTTACAGCTCACTGAAACCGTTCTATATATGGTGTTAAATATACAATATGCATATATCTAAATTTGAAATGTAGTGTTCAAATAAATGCCGGGATGCAACTAAAAAAAAACCTTTATTAGGATATTGAAAACATTTAGCTCTTGATAATGACCCAGAAGGTCGAAAATACTCGAACATAAAACAAAAAGAAAAGCATGAACTTTGGACAGTTTATCCAAAAATTTAGATTAGGATGTACAACTTAATTCGAAACGGAAAATACAAATAAGCATTAAACTGAGAGATATTGTCGGTTGAATTTAATAAAATTTGTCTAAATGAATTCTTTCTGTCTAAATAAACGCGCGAACACACACACACAAAATATATATATATATATATATATATATATATATATATATATATATATATATATATATATATATATATATATATACGAAGAGTGCTGAAACTTTTTCGAGCTGACCTCTTCCGTGTGTATTTAATTGAATGATAGATTTTTTTACAGCATGGTTCACCCTTTACAAAGCACGGGGGCCATTAGAGGTAGGAGGGGTTACGTTAGTAGGCAATTTGTTTGGGTAGTAGTGGGAGATAACGGTTGACGTTAGCCTTGGACAGGTTAAGATTGTAGTGATCGGAGAAACATCCACTTAGTAGTCGGTTCCACACAGTAGTGGTTCGCGGGAAGAAGCTGTTCAAGTGGAACTTACTTCTCACCGATGGAATACGGGGGGAATGTAGATGGTTTGCTAATATGTAAGCTGAATAACGTGTCCTTGCCGTAAAAGTTTGAATTGGGGGGGGACCAAGTAATGTAGTTCGTCCGAGCACTTTCCGTAAAAGTAGCGATAGAGAAGCTAAAGAATATTTTGTAAGGTTTTCAATCAGTTTTTCAGTGTTCTTGCAATTTTTGTTTTATGAGGATTAATATGTAAAGGTAAAAACTCATGAACTGGGCTTCTCACAATGATCTATCATATCCCAAATGTCTACACTTAACAGAAGCATTCCTAATAATTACCAACGAATCTACAGATAATATAACTTGCTGCGAAAACAACAAGGGCACATTGAATGAGTTTCGAATACTAAACAGAAAACTCCAATATGGACGAAATTAATACTACTCTTGCATTATAGGAAACAAAAAACAAAAAATAGCAAAAATGAAACCCTAACTCTGAAAAATGTCTAAAGTATTAACCGAAAACGATTGGGACAATAATAACTACGGACACATTATATACACATTCATAGTCCGTCTAAAAGAAAAATTGTAAGAAGATTAGAAAAACTGAAAATATATATATATATATATATATATATATATATATATATATATATGTGTGTGTGTATATGTATATATATAGGATACATTTTATGATGAAACGCGTCACAAGTAAACTTTTTCCACTGCATTTCTTGATATATAAAAATGTATATCACGCACGCACGCACACACACACACACACACACACACACATATATATATATATATATATATATATAGCGAGAGAGAGAGAGAGGGTGCGATGTGTAAATTGTCCATATTTTATATTTAAAATTGCGCGATTGCGCGTTGTTTGTTTTGATCTTGTCGACCTCACAGTTGGGCAACGTCTGTGAGAAAAAGAGCACCGTACTGCAATTCACTCTGCCAGAAATTTGGAAACGACATGCTGTACTGCTTGACATTCTCACCGGAAGCTCCAATACGAACATTTCAGTGTGTTTGGGTGTTAATCTGAAGAGAGTGCAGACGATTCGTAAAGAGTTAGATGATATATTCAATCAACATCATGGTGTTTGGAGTAATCACTAGTGATGACGACGTTATACCTCCATTCATCTTGCAACGGGACCTCAGAGACAATATGGAAGCCTACATCAAGTGTCTTGAGGAGGTAGTGCTGTCCTGAATCAAGAGGGTGCCTGCTGGAAGACGCTATATCTAGCAACAGGACTCTGCACCATGTCGTACAAGCAGGAGAACCCAGTCATGGCTGTTCGACAATTTCAGCGACCACATCACCCCTTAAATCTGGCCATCTAACTCCCCAAATTGCAATCCCTTATTTTTGTATAATTTTGGTAAATATATCTGTTAAAACGAGATGTCAGTGTTATTTCCATTTTTGCATCATTTAGACGACACTCTATCCATCGCACCTATATATATATATATATATATATATATATATATATATATATATATATATATATATATATATACCTATGATTGTTACTTTTCTGTTTTTAATGCGCTTCGCGTTCAGTAATGATCCGCAAGGTTGGTTTGGTTGACCATTTTTACTGAATTTGATCTTCACTAAGGGGGGCATAAAAAATCAGACATTAAATAATCCAATAAATGTTGACATGTTGTCTAATCGACAACCCAAATCTTCTTTTTAATTTATTCTTACAAAATAACTTGATGATCAAGAATTCCTCTAGGATCATCATTGACGTCTCATGGATAATTTGGATCTAGATATTTAATCACAGTTAATGTATAACGGAAAGAATTATACTCAATTAAACTAGATATTCATCTCGAGATTTGCAACCAGGGAAACAGATAAATGACGAAATCAATATAAAAATTTTGGTGGCCGAAATTCAAAGCTGTAAATGCTAATCTAATGACTATTATACCAACAATTGGCTTCATCACAACGAACGGTAATTTGACCAAGATTTTATTTTGAACTGATAGTTTAAATTTGCAGTCAAATCTGTAATCAGATAGTCAACGTCATATGAACATGAAATTCAAAAACAACTTGGTATAAGTTTCTTAAACGACCAAAATATAAACAAAAGCAATTAATAAAATTTGTTTAGAACTTCTTGTTTTAAAAAAAAGTAGGGGGAATGAATTTTAAAAGTTGAAAAACTTTCATCCATGACAAAATTTTCAACTGGATTTTTAAAGTCTCGCCATAAAAAAAAGTTAAGGAAAGGAAACTGAAAGAAGTTTGGCTTCAAGGATAATTAACAGTACACTGCGTTAAATTTTAGTTTTTAATCTTTTGGGGGCATTAAAAAGTCACAAAAAGTAAATAAATATTTATTACTTGCTCGTTGAGCCAAAAGCTTTCATTGACTCTTGTCTTTGCCTATATATGCATACGTATGTATATATATATATACGTATGTGTATATATATATATGTATGTGTATATGTATGTGTATAAGCGTGTATTTGTGTAGTTTCAAATATTTTGAGTGAAAATGAACCCGAAATAATTGAACCATAAACTCGCCAAAGAAAAATTCGAGTCTAATAACCAAGAGCGTAAACTAAGAAATTACACCAAGGAAAGGATATTTGTTCCCAGATTAAAACAGGCAGACTATTTACTCGATGCGAATTCACACATTTTTCAACAAAATATTAATAATAATAATAACAAAAAACAACACATTGTCACTGATTGTAGTCTGCTGCCATAAAAAAGAGTATAGACGATATTATGATAATATAGACCTCAGAATGAATACATTGAAAACTATGCAGAAAGCATGGCGGAGCGGCTCAAGTTGCTTCTTTTGTGGTTGGCGTAATAGGGACCATTTCCAGGAAACATTTTATCTCCCAAGACGTTAGGGTATTGCGATGATATAGGGTATAGAACAGATGATGTGCTGATGAAAGTATTGTGTCTCTAAGCTGCAACAGGAACTGAGATACAGACTGTTATCTCACGGCCGAAAAATCCAAGAGTCGGAGAAGATCTCAATCCCAATAACAATAATAATAATAGTCACTTTTATCATCACCGTCTTCATATTTGTCCTACACCAAAGTTGTTGGAAATTTGAAGCGTGAAATTTTTAATTGAGTTTATTTTACTTTTTCTATAATTAAAACACAATCAAGACAGAACTGCTTTTATCGACCTAAGCGAAAGAGTAACAAACAAAAGTTCATTTCTCTTTTAAAAAATAACAATAAACACAGGTAGGTATATATACAAAAATACATATATAAATGCTTTCTTTTTAATTAGAGATAAATTTAAAGACGTACATACATGCAGATACGCGCACTTGTACAGGCAAAGAAGTACTTTCTTACTTAGGCCTGGAATCCGGTTCAAACACACACACACACGCGCGCGCGCACACACACACACACACACACACACACAC